AACCTCTTATTTATGTATGTACGACTAAAACACTACTGTAGAACCTCCTATTTATATACGGCTGAAACATACTACGAAGTACCAATATGGTGCTGCGTACTAGTAGTACGTAGTACTACGAAGTAGTGAAGTAGTATGCAATCATAGGTACTTTGTACAGTACGCACGTAGTCCTAAGTACGCACGTAGTCCTAAGTATGTCACATTAGGTAACTAATATCTGTAATGCACTAAAACAATCCACTCCATCACAACAGCTTATGTCCCTACTAGGTACGCTCGAAAATACCCCAACTTTTTAAGTACGCTCTAAAATGCTCCATTCCGAAGCCTCGCTCGGAAATAATCCATCGTTTGCTCGAAAATAATCTTTTCCCAACGAGTTTGCCGACTATCCTGAAGAGCACTTTTTCGCCATGCAGGAAAAAGCGTGGATGAATGGAACTGTATGGAAGTTCTATTTGCGTGATGTGTTGGCTTGTCACATTGAGAATCCATCAATTCTTCTCGTCGACAATTTTGATTCGCATGTCAGTACTGAAAGCGACACCATTGTTGGTGAAGAGCTTGGGTGTCAACTGTGTCCGCTACCCCCCATATGGGTCAATGGAACTACACGCCATAGAATACATAACTTCCCCCTATTATCTCCCTTGAACAGACGGATAGGGAGCCGCGCAATGCTCACTCCACGAATTCCGTTATATGTCCGTAATGAAATCTTGTGCAAAATAAGGGTACCGGTCAAGTCAATCGGTCCCGAGTTCAATCCCAGTCAGAAAACATATGTGAGGTAGCGAATCAAATCGATTTAAATTCCAACGAGAAACCATGCTGTATACTTTTTTTCTTTACTTGAATAGAGTATTAAATTATAGTATTTTATCGGTCATGTCACATTTTGTTGGTCCCCATGGGGCGTGCAAATCCTCAGTCCATGTGTCACAGCGATGTAATGCAATATGTGTAATAGGCATTTTTATGATTAATTGAGTTTGGATTATCATTTTTAAGACATTCCTCGCGAGGGCCGACACTAGAACCACATGTTATGGAACCGCTTCGCCAATTGTAACGCGCCTGCTCGACCAGGGGCGGTGTGTAATCTTCGGTTTTTACATCGCTCAACGCTTCATACCTCGTGCTTCGACCGATCGTCTTCGAAGTTCGGTCCTCGTCTTCGTACGCAGCCCTTGTTATCCGGATTCCCCAGGTTGGAAGGACGGATAAATCCTTGCGGAAATAATCCGGGGAATCCGGGGATCGAACCCACGACCTTTGAGTTAAGAAACCGATGCTCTACCACCTGAGCTATTCCCCCCCAGGTGTCGCATTAGCTCAGTTGGTAGAGCGTCAGTCTTTTAACCCAAAGGTCCCCGGTTCGAGTCCGGGTCCCGCCATTCTTTTCGACGAATTCAAAAACCGTCACGCGACACCTGAAAAGAAGGGATATCCGGATGAAGAGGACCCGCGGTTCGGTTAATTACCGGATCGTGAAAACACTGTAAAACAACCAACACCCCCCCCCCCGAGTGAGCCCAATCAGCCGGATAACGCGAGAAGGCAATATTAAGTTAGGAATAATATCCGGTTAAAATTCTAATAAACCTCCATTGAT